CCCCTCCCCCCCGAGGGGGCGTGGCCTGGAGCAATGTGCGGTCCTCAGGCCTTCTGGGCCTTGTAGTCGGCAGCTCTGCGACCCGGCAGACGCAGCTGCCCCTGGGTGGCAGCCCTGTTCTGCCCCGGAGCTCGGGTGAGAGGCCGCACCTGCGATTTTATTTTGCTGTCAAGACATTTGTTCACTTATTTATCAAATACTTTTGCCTAAGCATCTTGAACTCACTTTCTAGAAAAAAAGTTCAAGGAGAAGCCAGGCCCCTAGTTATGCAGTGTTTTCTCAATACTCAGTTTGCACCTGGCACTGCCCTGGGCGCTAGTGGAGGGCACATCCAAGCATCCCACAAGGCCCTTCCTCTTTCCTTCCCCAGCTTCCAGTCTGGTTGGGGAGTAGCATGCAACGTGAGCACACAGTTAGAGCACAGGGTGTAATTTGACAACGGGAAAGAAGAGTCTGACTTTGCCCGAGAGGTTCAGGAAGGCTTTCCAGAGGAGGCAAAAAGGGGCCTTGAAGGATGAGTAGGAAACCTAGGAGACTCCCATGCACACTAATCAAGGAAGTTCAAAAGAGTGTCCCTCCGGCCGCTGGAGTGGCTCAGCTGAGCGTCTTCCTGTGCACCGCAAGGTTTCGGGTTCGAGTTCCAGTTAGTGCACATACCTGGGTTGAGGGTTCGAACCCCAGTCGGGGCAGGTAGGGAAGGCAACCAATCAATTTCTCTCTCTCTCTTCCTGTCTCTAAGCATGTCCTCGGGTGAGGATTTAAAAAAAAGTGTCCAGTATCTCAGTGTGTTTGGGAAGTAAAGCGCAGGGCTGGGGAAGGCATGGGGAGTGGCAGGTGATGAAGCTGCAGGGGCTGCAAGGAGATGGCATGAAGGCATTAGATGATAGGCTCAAGAGCTTGGATGTTATGACATAGTGACGAGCTTGGGGCTGGGGGTTTCAAGATGAGGAGTTAGGTGGTCTAATTTGTGGATTGGAAAGGTACCTCTAGGACAGTAAAAAATGAATAGAGGGGGACCCAACTGGAGAGAGAAGACTGTTTCTGTATCTACCACCTCAGCCTGCCCTTCCAGGATCATTTCCTTGACTAGCTCAGCCACAAACCCCCACCTACAAGCAAAACAAGGATGTCATTCAGAGAACAGGGCCTGTCAGGGCCTGAAAGGTTCCTGGTCCCATCCCCTATTTGAAAAGGGCACCCACCCTGCCATAGGCCCTTCCTCCTATCCCAGAGACTTCTTCCTTACCGGGGCTGCGGGGCTCATGGTTCCTGGGCGGCCAGGGCAGCATTTCCCAGAAGGCTCCTGCAGGGGGGCATTTCCCTGAGCGCCTTAGAGATAAGGGGATCAGGACGGCGCTACCAAGTGGGAGCCAGAGGGGGGAGGCAAGGAATGGGGGCACATAGATCCTAGAGAAAGCCATCTCTCTTCAGTCCCTTCCCCACCTCCCCAACTGATCTGGGCCTCAGACCTTCAGTTTGCTGGATAACAAACAACTTGTCCGTGATTCCAAGGGGTCTTGACCTAGCATCCCTGTAATTCCCCTGGGAGGGGACAGCCAATTCTCCTCCCTCGATCAGGGCTGGGGCTAAATTTTCTTTCTCCAGTGGGGCAGGACAGTACCACCACCCCACTCTTGGCTGCACAGCCTGCCCCTTTAAGCTCCCTTCTCTCACTCTTGGGTTTCTGTAATCCTGACCTCAAGCCACCCGGGGCCCTTGGGCCCTTCGTGCAGTGCGTGACTTGTTGGAGGATTCCCCATGGCCGATCCTATTAGCCACTGAGCTCATCCCCTCCTTGCAGCCCCAGTTACCAGCTTTCCCAAACCACACTGTTCTCCACCCTGTGCCTTTCTGTCCCTGGAACATTCTACCTTCTCCAAGCAAAAATTTCCGCCCCCACAGCAGAAGGATAGAAGGACTGAAGAAAGGAACAAAAGAAGAGAAAGGTGGAGGTGGCCTCAGGGAATCTGGATCTAGACCCCTCACCCCAGCTCTCCTTGCTCCCCTCCGTGAAGGGCTGTTTGGCTCCTTCATAGAGGGGTGGGGGTGGGGGGGGGG